TTAATAGGAGAGCCAAGTTCCAATTTGGGTTCATCATATTCACTTACACATAAATACCATTAGGAAACATATGAATGCACCTCTTCTTCCCACAGTTATGGGTTAATTAGTAAGACTTGTATCACTAAATCATTATTATCTCACCCCACCAAAAAACTTCTTAAAATCTCAAAATATTTTCTGGCTTTAAATAACCTGCAAAGGGTTTATAAACTGTGAAAAAATTCAAAAATTCATTAACCAAACAATATTAACGTCAGCTGGAATTTTTTATAAGCTTTTCCATAAAACAGTTTTTCAGGAAATTAGATTCTCAAGTTCACGCTTTGGTTTGGGTTAGTTTGTTTTATGGCATATCAACCTCAATGTGTTATTTAATGCTGACAAAATTTTTATTTCTGGTAATATTTTTTCTTCAGAAATGTATAGCTGGTAATATTTTTTTTTTTCAAAAATGTGTTGCTGGTAATAAATTTTTTTTTTACAAAGTATTTTTGGTATTAAAACCTATTTTTATATTTTCATAGTGTTTTGACCCCAGTTTGGGGGCTAACTATTTACCCATAGTTGGGACCCTAACAGATGCTACCACCCCAGGTCAGGGTGGATCTGGGAACACCATAATTTAAGAAGTAGTTCCATGCTCCTCAAAACCTCCTGATCAGAGTCCTTGCTGCTGGACATAGTTTATCGTCTTACTTAGGTCAAGTCAATTGTTATTGCTGTTTCTTGGCATGATGAGAATTTACTTCAGACGATTTTTATTTTTTGATTATGTGGAAAATAAAATAGTTGAATATATCGATATTTTCCCTTCTATGTACATTTGTTAATCATTTTTGTTGTTGGTACCATTGAAAATCTTCAAATTATGTCGGTTTCTTTCCATTTGGTAAAGCTCTTTATTTGGATTCAGTTTCTGTACTTTATAGGATCTTATAAAATATTGTCTTCTTTAAGATCTAAAACATTCATTTGCTTGAAGCCATTTTTAATCATTGACCTTAGAAAACGGTTATATCTGTGTATCTCTATTGTCTTTTCATATATATATATATATATATATATATATATATATATAGTTATGATACAATATGGTAATCTGTATGGAATTTCTAGGAGGATATAAATCCAGGGAGAGCTCTATGTTAAAAGACAGAGCAGAATTATCATTAAATTAAAGAATATCAAACACTTAATATCCCATAGGTAATAAATTTTATTTCATGAGATCTTTAAAAAACAGCAGCTCTCAATCTTACTGTTTTTTAGAGCTCTCATGAAATAAAAATTATTACCTATGGATTTTAGCATTTTATATTCTTTAATTAATGATAATAATAATAATAATATATATATATATATATATATATATATATATATATATATATATATATAAAATATATAGAAAATAGGAAGGAACTGGTTAGGTGAATAATCCAAAGTCCCTTAGTATTTTAGTTATTATTTTTTTAAAATAGTGCTCGATACAAAAGTAGAGCATAAATATAATTATTAATTTAAAAATATGATTCCAAATCGCTACATAAGAGGTCTCATGTTTCAAAACAAGAGCCGAAAACTTCAATATAATCCTTTAAATTAAATTGAGTTTAAATTAAAATGGGCTCCGTTCCATCTTCAAGCAAAATTTTAATTTTAGTTGGAATATATATATATATATATTAGATGAAATGGATTAAATCTAACAAATATTTTAATATATTTTCTGTTTATACATAATCATTATGGATACAACTTATTTGAGTAAACATTCTGCTTTAATTAAACAGTATTAACTACATTTATCAGTGAGAATGTTTGAGAAATTTCATAGAAAATATGCATCCTCTGACAGGAATCGAACTTGTATCACAAAAGGAAACTGGCATATAGCCTGACGTGCTGTTAGTCATCCTGTATAATAAGCAGTAATTTGGACTTTGCTAACTTGAAAGTTCTCTGTGGCTTTTTTACCAAAATGTCAATAAAAATCAGGTGTGCAACCTATCCACTCAACATCATTAAGAATCTGAAGTAGACTGTGGCATATCAGTAGTCCAGGTGAGTACCCTGGGTTGGAGCATAAACCAGAGCAAGGGAGAAAAGGAATTTTTCCTGCGATTTTGATTTTACACAATCCCCTCTTACAAGAGCACCATGTCATACATCAAATAAAAGTGCTCGATCTCCACTGCTCATATTTACCATTCATTATCTGATTTATGACAAAAGACTATCATTTTCAGGTGATTTTAGGACTGAAGCAATTACTAGTATCTAAATTTTGTCTAAACAGAGCAGCCTCACACTCTATAAGTAAATACAAATGAAAAAAATATTTGACAGTGATGAGGATGAAAAAGAATTTGGGAGTTTCAGTCTTGATGAAGTTTAATAACGATATCTAAAAGAATAAACACTTTTCTCATATTTTAATATATGCAAGCAAAGTTTTGAAAATATTTAGCAAATATTAGTAATATTTACATTAAAAAGTGTCGTGTAACTCCACAGATTATAGTGCAAATCTGCAAGTCAACTGCAAATACCCACTTTGACAACCCCAAACTAAGAGTGTGACCTATCTTTAAGTATATACAGTACTTCATGGCAAGCTACCATTTTTTGTCAGGCCATCTTTACAAGTCAGATTTGATTAAAAATGTATTGAATATGAATGGTAGCTTTTTAACACCCCAGTAGTTCTCTGAAAATCATATCAGTATCTGAAATGAGAACTCAGTCTATGAAAAGATAGTGCTTAAAAAGATAGCCTCCAGATTAAAAGATAAAAGACTAAAGCCAGAAGCTAAAATAACAGATTAACCAAAAGAAGTAGAGGCACTTCTTCCTTATTTCAGCCAAAACGAAAAATATGAATATCTAATGACATCAATAAAATTGTTTTCTTGTAAAATACCCGACTCTTTCATGCTTATCTTTATCTTTACAAGAGTTGAATTTTACCAAAAATGGATTATCGCTGCTAAATCTGGGATGGAGCTGCACAATTTCACATTCCAACCTTGATAGAGTTCAAGTTCTTCAACACAGCTTTGTGAGGGATGACATATTCCACCCTGCTGCCTCTTCCTCACAGACATAATATTATATGCTTATTGATACTCTATCACTATTTCCATGGCAAATGTTCAGAATAACTCCCTTTTCAGTTCTATCAGTTTAGACCTTTACCATTCGGACATGTCTCACTACTTCCATGAAGTCAAATCACCCTCTTTCCTCTGCATTCTAAAAGTAAGAAGGAAGTTCCACTCAGATAATTTTTCCCCAAAATTATCATTTTGTGGAACAGGCTCCTGCGTGGATACTTCCCTGAACACTTTAATCTTGACTTCTTTAAGTCACTAATGTATTGCTAACCTTATTCTCATAATCCTCACTGTCTCCTATTCAGATCACATACCTTGTTCATCATTAATATTTTCACTATAACCCTCCATCTTGAGTCATTCTTGAGCTTTGTTTTCAGGTGAAAATTTACAAAGAAAAAAGCAAATTCTGCAAAAACATTGCAATTGAAGACTTAATGATGTTTTTTTTATAATGCAGGAAAATTAGAAATATTATTTAACTTTTTAAATAATTGCTTATTGATTTATAAATCTATGTTAATAAAAAAAAAAGCACATTTAGCCTTCAGTTTCATGAACTTTATGCAGTATTTCTGTGAGAGCTAGTCCCCTTATTTTTTGCTTTGCTCTTTTGCTCATCTCAACAATATTTTATTAAGTCTTACAGGCTGCAATGATTTAACTTTAAATAATATAAGATAATAATGAGATGATAAATTTGTCAGTGGCTGATCACTGGTTTTGGTAAACAGACTCATACTACTTACTTATTATCATTAAATAGGACAGTGTTTTTCTTTTGCAGTAGAATCACTAATGCACTCATGTGTAGTACAGTGACTTCTGATGGTAAAGTCAGTGTTTTTCAAGAGGAAATGAAGTGGCCATATAAATAAGCACAAGTTTATTGATTCTTCTGGTCAGAATCTTACTAGCAGTGATACAAAATCAAAAATATACGGATTCAATGTAAAAATAAAAGCATCCTGAACTAATATCATATAATCATGGATCAGGGTCATACTACAAAATTGTGCTGAAAAGTTCTCGGTCCTACTAAGAATAGATTTTTAAAGAATCAATTTTTGATTATTTGTTCATATTTTTAGGAAATGGATCAAGCTAAGAACTTTTCAGCATTGCAATATGTTTACACATGGTTTCTCATTCTTATTTTTCAATCTTCAGTATTCTTCTTTTGTGCTCTGTCTCTTCAGCACGTGGGTGGTTATGGCTCACCACAAGTTCCTATTCTTTGTAGCTATAGACAGTGTTTATCATCTTACTGTCCATTTACAAAATCTTATTAAATAGGTTACTCACTGGTACCCTCTATTCCTCTTACCTTCAATGTCGTGTGGGTGTCAGTTTCTCTAAGCCTTCTTTCTTATTATGCATCCCAGAAGTTTCAACTGTCTCTTTCTGAATTTAATTATGTATCCTTTTTGTTACCATTTTGCTTAAAACTTCCTAATTGCTCATATACTCTAACCACAGTTAAGCATTCTTCTGTATGAATCCGCCTCTTCTCCCCCGGCTATGGGTTAATAAGTTGGACTTGTATCAATAAATCACTGTTATCTCAAAAAATTGTTAAAATCTAAAAATATTTTCTGGCTGTAAATAACCTTCAAAACATCGATAAGCTTAAAAAAAAACAAGCCAATCAATCTTAGCATTCGTCTATAGATCCAGCTTTTTTATTATTTTACACATATAGAATACTAACAGAGTACAGGGTTCTATTATGATGTTTATACAAATTTTGATTGTTTACAAGACAATGAATTGGTAACTATGGCCCAGAATCAACAGTTACAAGCACATTTCTGACATTTTGACCTCAAAGGAGAATGATTTGTAAAAAGGTAGATGTGAGTGATTGGAATAAGACAAGTACATTCAACTCAGGAAAAATGATTTCCTAAAAGCTAGGAAAAGATTCCAGTATTTTTTCACTTTATTTCTGCTGATTGAGTCACTAGTTAACAAGTCACACAATGAAAAAGCACTCATAAAAATTATTCTCATATAGGAAGAACGAAACACAAAATGGGAAATGAAAAACAGAAAGGAGAGAGAGAGAGAGAGAACATCGGGATAAAAGGAGAGAAAGAGAACATTGGGATAAAAAGAGCAAAAAACACAGAAAAGGAGAGAAAGAGAGAGAACATCAGGATAAAAGGAGAGAGAGAGAACATTGGGATAAAAAGAGCAAAAAACACAGAAAAGGAGAGAAAGAGAGAGAACATCAGGATAAAAGGAGAGAAAGAGAACATTGGGATAAAAAGAGCAAAAAACACAGAAAAGGAGAGAAAGAGAGAGAACATCAGGATAAAAGGAGAGAGAGAGAACATTGGGATAAAAAAGAGCAAAAAAACACAGAAAAGGAGAGAAAGAGAGAAACATCAGGATAAAAGAAGAGAAAGAGAACATTGGGATAAAAGAGCAAAAAAAACACAGAAAAGGAGAGAAAGAGAGAAACATCAGGATAAAAGAAGAGAAAGAGAACATTGGGATAAAAAGAGCAAAAAACACAGAAAAGGAGAGAAAGAGAGAGAACATCAGGATAAAAGGAGAGAAAAGAGAACATTGGGATAAAAAGAGCAAAAAACACAGAAAAGGAGAGAAAGAGAGAGAACATTAAAAGGAGAGAAAGAGAACATTGGGAAAAAAGAGCAAAAAACACAGAAAAGGAGAGAAAGAGAGAGAACATCAGGATAAAAGAAGAGAAAGAGAAACATTGGGATAAAAGAGCAAAAAACACAGAAAAGGAGAGAAAGAGAGAGAACATCAGGATAAAAGAAGAGAAAGAGAACATTGGGATAAAAAGAGCAAAAAAACACAGAAATGGAGAGAAAGAGAGAGAACATCAGGAAAAGAGAACATTGGGATAAAAGAGCAAAAAACAGAAAAGGAGAGAAAGAGAGAAACATCAGGATAAAAGGAGAGAAAGAGAACATTGGGATAAAAAGAGCAAAAAAACACAGAAAAGGAGAGAAAGAGAGAAACATCAGGATAAAAGAAGGAGAACATTGGGAAAAAAAAAAGCAAAAAACACAGAAAAGGAGAGAAAGAGAGAGAACATCAGGATAAAAGAAGAGAAAGAGAACATTGGGATAAAAAGAGCAAAAAAAACAGAAAAAAAAGAAAGAGAGAAACATCAGGATAAAAGAAGAGAAAAGAAACATTGGGATAAAAAAGAGCAAAAAACACAGAAAACATCAGAAAGAAGAGAAAGAGAACATTGGGATAAAAAGAGCAAAAAACACAGAAAAGGAGAGAAAGAGAGAGAACATCAGGATAAAAGAAGAGAAAGAGAACATTGGGATAAAAAAGAGCAAAAAACACAGAAAAGGAGAAGAGAGAAACATCAGGATAAAAGAAGAGAAAGAGAACATTGGGATAAAAAGAGCAAAAAACACAGAAAAGGAGAGAAAGAGAGAACATCAGGATAAAAGGAGAGAAAGAGAACATTGGGATAAAAAAGAGCAAAAAACACAGAAAAGGAGAGAAAGAGAGAGAACATCAGGATAAAAGAAGAGAAAGAGAACATTGGGATAAAAAGAGCAAAAAACACAGAAAAGGAGAGAAAGAGAGAGAACATCAGGATAAAAGAAGAGAAAGAGAACATTGGGATAAAAAGAGCAAAAAACACAGAAAAGGAGAGAAAACATCAGGATAAAAGAAGAGAAAGAGAACATTGGGATAAAAAGAGCAAAAAACACAGAAAAGGAGAGAAAGAGAGAGAACATCAGGATAAAAGAAGAGAAAGAGAACATTGGGATAAAAAGAGCAAAAAACACAGAAAAGGAGAGAAAGAGAGAGAACATCAGGATAAAAGAAGAGAAAGAGAACATTGGGATAAAAAGAGCAAAAAACACAGAAAAGGAGAGAAAGAGAGAGAACATCAGGATAAAAGGAGAGAAAGAGAACATTGGGATAAAAAGAGCAAAAACACAGAAAAGGAGAGAAAGAGAACATCAGGATAAAAAGAAGAGAAAGAGAACATTGGGAAAAAAAAACACAGAAAAGGAGAGAAAGAGAGAAACATCAGGATAAAAGAAGAGAAAGAACATTGGGATAAAAAAGGAAAAAAACACAGAAAAGGAGAGAAAGAGAGAACATCAGGATAAAAGGGAAAGAGAACATTGGGAAAAAAGAGCAAAAAAACACAGAAAAGGAGAGAAAGAGAGAAACATCAGGATAAAAGGAGAGAAAGAGAACATTGGGATAAAAAGAGCAAAAAACACAGAAAAGGAGAGAAAGAGAGAGAACATCAGGATAAAAGAAGAGAAAGAGAACATTGGGATAAAAAAAGAGCAAAAACACAGAAAAGGAGAGAGAAAGAGAGAACATCAGGATAAAAGGAGAGAAAGAGAACATTGGGATAAAAAGAGCAAAAACACAGAAAAGGAGAGAAAAGAGAGAGAACATCAGGATAAAATGAGAGAAATAGAACATTGGGATAAAAAGAGCAAAAAACACAGAAAAAAGAGAGAAAGAGAGAGAACATCAGGATAAAAGGAGAGAAAGAGAACATTGGGATAAAAAGAGCAAAAAACACAGAAAAGGAGAGAAAGAGAGAGAACATCAGGATAAAATGAGAGAAATAGAACATTGGGATAAAAGGAGAAAAAAAACAAGAGTGCAAAAAGAGAGAGAAAACAAATGAAAAGAAAGTATTATATCACTAAATTTTACTTGTAAAATCTGAGGCCAATTACCCAAAGTCTCTTCATCTTTTTTTTTAATAATCTTTTCAATTTCATTTTTGTTGGTCTTTTAATGCTAATTTTGATCTCTTCCTTCATAATTAATTAACAAAATCAATGCTAATTAGGAATCATCCATTACTATCGCATTCTGATCTTCATTCAATGGAGATTAATTCTTTGGACATTCATCCTGCCATATTCTTTGTTTTACCATTTGTACTTTATTTCAATGTTCTTTTTATTTATGCCCTCCAATCAGTTGGCAAACTATAGCCTTTGGGCCATATCTGTCCTGCTATAGTATTTCATCTGGCCTGCAAACCATATAAAATATGCTATTATTCTTAAATAATAATTTTCATATTATTTTCCTTTAGTATTATTATGTATAAAATTAAAAGTTTTTTGTATATGTATCATTAAGGGCCTCTCATCAGAACTATAATTAAAAGTTATAAGCCTGACGTCCAATGGAATATAAAAAGACAATTACAGAATGAATGCTAACTGAATTTTACAAATGCTCTTCAGATGAAGGATATTCAGCTTTTGAAATTTTTTTTCTTAATTAATTTAACTGTTTAGTATAACATTTTTTATTTTTTATTTTGGGAGACATTTTCAGAGATCAAACATGTTGCATCTACATATAGGTTGGTCTTAAATTATCCACAATTGCAGCCAATTTTAAAAATAGGGAAAATAAATTTTTAACAACAGTTTAATATATTTTTATCCCAGGAAAGATAATTTTATTATTCATATTGATTCTTCATGTTTAACACTCTTTCTACAAAAACTGCAGGAAAGCTTAATCTTTTTCATAATGTACATTATTTAGAGTGAGCGTAATATCCTCTTCTTTGTTGTTATTACAATCATTTTGCCCATTGTAACCTCTAACCTTTTCTGGTATCTGTCAATCTGGGTAATCTTCAAGGAATTTTAAGCTGAACTCTTCAATCTACATTGGACTAGGGACAAGAGGACCAAAGTAGTGTTTGGTACATTATATAGTCTTTGTTGTTACAGTCAAAGAGTTTCAGCTGTTATGCCTTCTAGCCTTCTTATAGCGTTTGTGGAGCCCGGTAACCTTCAAGGAATTTCAAACTGAACACTTTATTCAATCAATGTGGAACAATGGCCAAGAGGATTGAAACATTGGTTACTAAATTTGGTGATGTCATATTTGTGAGTTGAATCTCTAGGCTAGGTAGTATGGATAATATACTCAGACTCAATGGAAACAGAACCAGCAATAACTGAACAATTAGCCAACATGAGATAACCCAAGACATGGACAATAGAACAAAAAAATCTCCCCTGTCGACTTCTTCAGTCACAAGAAAAATCATTTTTATTTCTTAAATTCAAACGTGGTAATTCTGATTTAGGTTTTACAATGTCATTCATATTTTGAATAAATAGTTTTGCATTGATTGATTGATTAAATAACCACAGTCAGGTGCACAGAAGCATTGTAAATTCCACAATCCTTTTGTTGGCTGCATGGTATGTGCTTTGTTAACTAGTGACTCATATGGTTTTCAATTCAGAGTAGTCCTTCTTCTAGACTGGTTGTCAATCAGGGTTGAAAATACCAGTCTACCCTACCATTTAATTCATAGCTGGAGATGGGTTTGAACCATTACCAAGGATATTTGCACAAAATTGAATGTAACAAAATTCAACTTGAATTCTGATTTCTTGTTCTGGGTCACTGTCCATTACAAATCCTTCACATACTTTGCATTGATAAATATAATAAAACAATATTTAATTGATGTTATGTAGGATAGCACAATGTTTATCAGCAGGGAAAGTTTTTGTTTTGTTTGTTTAATGGCATATCAACTCCTTATGGGTCATTTAATGCTGAAATTAAATTTTCTTGGGAGCTTTGTAGTAATAAAAATATGTTATTCTACTTTCACAATTGATTACATGGTAGATGATACTCAGCTTTGGTACATATACATGTTTGTGTAGATATAATTACTGGAGGTGGTGATATATGTGTTTTTTATGTTGTAGTTTTGTTGAAGTTACATTTTGGAATAGAGTTTGATTTCTTTAAGAAATTGTAGGACATTATATGGACGAATATCATGAGAGAGTTATTTCATGTTGGTTGGTAGGTTGATTTTGTTTAGCAGATTATCAATCGCCGTGAATAATTTTAATATCGAAATCTAAATATTTTAACACAATTGCATGCCTTCAACTACAGATAAAACCCCTTGATGCTTATTTTGCTATAAATATATATTTTTATACATTCATAGTGTTTTTTGTTTTGTTTCGGGGTTCACTATTTGCCCCTATCTGGGAGCCTAACAGGTGGTATCATCTAGTGTCAAGGTGGACCTGGGAACACCCACAGTTAACAGGTGGTTCCATAGTCCTCAAAACCTCTAATCTCTCAATCATAGCCCTTGTTGCCAGATGTAGTTTATTGTCATACCCAGGACTAGCAAGGAAAGTGAAATCAGTGAGTTGAGTTTGAATTGCAGTCAATTCAGCCATTGTTCACTTCCAACTAATGACCTTGAAGAAGACAGGAATCTATTTTCCTCCAGCTGTGAGCCAAATAGTAGATTGGTCATCTTAATTTAGATAGTAGCTAGTTGTGAAAAAAGTAAACTCTAAATTCAAAACTAGCCTGAAGTATAGTGGGCTTTGCCAAGCCACCATACTCTAGATGCATCGCTGTTGCAGTATATGCATGGCCCTATGATTCTAATGAATGCAGTATATGCATTGCCCTATGATTCTAATGGATGCAGTATATGCATG